CATTAAAATGTAGGGGTATGAACTCACTTTAAGTGATCTTAGTAGATGATTGTTGAAGAATGGAAGTGTTTAACTCAAGAACACTTGGAGATGCCCTGAAGATTTTCGAGAATCTAACATCATAGTTATGGAGTTTGTGTAAGCAATCAATGATTTGAGTAGAATGAAGTGCAATAATCATAAGGAGGATGAATTATACTTACTAAGAGTGGAAGAACACTTGAAAATCAACCTTGAATCTCGAATTTGGTAGAGAAAAAGTTTGAGAGAAAAGAGGTGTTTGATTCTTCGTAAAATGAGAGCAAATGAGAGAAATGAGGAGAGAGGATGAATATCCAGCTCTCAAAAACGTGGGAATGGGTGGTAATTGAGTGTTAGGGACATTGATGTGACCTAGGTAAGGTGGGGAGGTGTGGCTGGTCATAGAGTAGGTGTGGGAGTGGTTGCTTGTGTCATAAGGTAAAGCAAAGTCAACACTCCACCTCTTTGTACTTTACCCACTAGCTTTTATTATTTAAATAAAGATTTTCATGAAAATATGATTAAATTGTGAATATTTAGGGTTTATTATGTTAAAATATGATTCTGGGTGAAAATCCCGCGTTAAAATAATTAAAAACGGGCCTTAAACGCAAAACTACGCGAAAACCGGGAAGAAAAACATTCCCAGCGAGACCTCTCAGTCCTAGGCCGAGGTTCGGTCCTTGCTGATGCTGAGCCGGAAACGAAGGGAGGCGAGGAAGCAAAAGGAGGCGAGGAAATGAAGGGTGGCGAGGAAGCGAAATAGCCCGAATGAAACCTTCGGGTTCGGTTCCCCCCTTTGTGCGAGGTTCGGCCCTGAGAGGACCTCTCGGGTTCGGTTCCTCCTTGGTCTCGGGTTCTTAGCAGGTTCGGTTCCTATGGGGACCTTCGGTTCTAAGAGGTTTCGCCTCTTATAAGAGGGTTTCGGGTCGTTAAGCCTATTTTACTCGTTTTTACCCCGTTTTAAGCCGTTTTTGACCCGGTTAAGGGTCGGGATGACCCAAATGACTTCAAAAAGTTACGGAAACTTTTGAGAGAGATTTGGGAGAGATTTCTCATAATTGTAGAGATTTAGGAGAGATTTGACATTCTTGGAGAGATTTCTCATACAAAGAGATATTTGAGAGAGGTTTCACATACTTGGAGAGATTTGGGAGAGATTTGACATTCTTGGCGAAATTTCTCATACAAAGAGATATTTGAGAGAGATTTCACATACTTGGAGAGATTTGGGAGAGATTTGACATAGAGAGAGATAGAGTGAAAACGATTGAGAGAGGTTCCATGTGTGACAATTGTGAGTGTCCGGCTTCGCAATGCAAGGTTTGTAAACCCTGTTAAGCCTTGTTTAAGGATCTTACACGCTCCCGATGAGTATGCAACATTGTTTTATCGGTTTGGCTCGCCACGTACCACAACTTTAGGTTAAGGAGATCTAGATGTTCGCACTTTTTGATTTATGATCTCTCATTAGAATAGGGAGTTGTTTAGTGAATACATAACGTAATCCCTAAAACGCAAGGGTTAGCTGAGTTGACCGGTTTGACCTATTGACTTTATTTGACTTTCAATTGACCAGAAATTGATGGTTTTCTTATCGGGCCACCCTTTTCCACCCTTATTAGTCCAAGTTAATGTGCCGGTTAACCACACACGCTTAATTAATGACTTGGCAAGGTGTAAAGTGAAATTTCATGGATTAGCATCAATTTCACATTTTCCTAAAGTAACTAAGATTGGGAATTTTAATAAAACATTTAGTTACTTTATTATTATCATTATACTTAATGAGAATTATAGTCCTATCCTACCCGTTTGGCTAATGACCCTCCACAAGTCAAGGAAGCGGTGGGTGAGAGTGGACACCCATTAAACCACCATTTTATAGGCAGTAACCGTATATCCCCCTTATAGACCAACTTTGTGAATGAGGCCTAATAATGGTAAAACCGACTTGTCTTACACACACACACACACACACACATATATATATATATATATATATAAATATTAAACCTTTTATATTATAATAGTATAAGGGTTGAATTTGAACTTTTAAAATTCTATGGTTTGGAACTAAAGTAAGCAAAAGTGTAACTTTACAAATTCCAAAACTTGAGGGAAAGTTTTGAAACATGTCAAAACTTTTCATTTCCATAACATACGAGTTTAACGATCTCTTAAAAGAAAAACCTTTCATTTTCTAATTAACACAAGTTATGGAGTCCATTAAAAGAATTTAACTAATTATTCTAATTAACACAATAATTTAATAATTCATACATGATTCAATGAAACTCATATGATCATGATAATTCATATCAAATAAATTTCATGAAATTAGCCTAATCATACAAACTAATACAAAAGATGAAACTTTGACAATTATCTTTGAAATTGAATAATCATAATAATTACCACATCAAAAACAGATTTATTTGTTCAAAAATAGTTTAGGGTAATGATTCTAGTATAATACTAGCTTTAAAACTCGAAATTCTGCATTCTGAAGCACCAACTCATCGAGTGCATGAATTGACGCTGCGAGTTGGTCAGTATATAGGATGAACTAGGCGAGTTTGTCAGTGGACTCGGCGAGTTCACTGTCTAGAAAGCAGAAAATTGATTTTTTCAACTTTTGAAAGCAAGTAGCATCAAGTATAATGGAAAACAATCCTAGGCTCTGATACCACTGATGAGTTTTGAGCATTCTAACACTCCTATGGTGTACATGCAACCTTAAATGATTTGGATATATGTTTTCTCTAATATACATGCAAACTTTCAATTTTCCAAAGCATCATCCTAACTAGAATACAATGGAGTATCTATACTACAAAAATCTAGATAGATGACATACCTTTTGGTGTAGTTGAAATCATTGAAGCTTTAAGAGCCTAGCACCAATAATGTGAATGCCTTAAGTGGAACCACAAATCACCACCAACAATTGGAAGAACTTGAGAGGAGATAGTATGCACTCCAAATCGGCTAGTACTCTTACAAGAACTCTACGTACCGATTTCATGAACCAAAGGGTTTCTTATATAGTGTGGTTGTATTAGGGTTACACCATGAAAACCCTAATGTACACGAATTTCCACATTCCTCATGCTCCATGGGTTTTAACCTCCATGGAGTATCCATGGGTTACCACATGGGTTTAGACCAACATAGAGAACTATGGATCATTAGCCCACTTTATAAGAATGAATGATTTACCAAATGAACCCCTCATATTAAATTAGTCTCTTTTGATCAGAAAATTAATTCCAAATTAATTCTTGATCAATAATAATTAAATAATATGATTTCATATTAATATATTAGAACTTATAATATATTAATAAATCATAAACAACCTCTTCTCAAAAGTTCATCCTTACAAATTGTTCCGGTGAAGTGCAACCCAAATGGACCATGCTACTCTCGGGTCAAGTACATACCAAATATAGTTATGGACTTAGACACCTTATCCAATAGAGAAAACTTACATTATAGTTATGCAAGTAGGTCTCGTACTCCTCAAACGTCTAGACTCCTACTACATATCAAAATCATCTCTAAGTAACACTTTATAACCATAACCCTAAAAAGTTAGGATAACCCGTTCGCTAACTCTTGGAAAGTGTGAAAGACCATTTTATCCCTCAATGGTCTTCATAATTCATGCCTTGAACAAACCCAAAAAGTCAACGGAAGTCACCACTCGAGTCAACAATCCATGTTGATCCACCTCGTCGAGTGCACCTATGCGACTCGTTGAGTCCCTCTTGTTCTCAGAAAATCGGGAAAACTCCAACTTAACTCACCGAGTTGTCTCATCAACTCATCGTGTTTGCACGTGTCCAGACTATAGGGGGAAAGCCTAACCGTCTCGTCGAGTTGGCTCATCCACCCATCGAGTCATTTCTCATTCAAAGGATTTTAAGCAGAACTAAAGTCCCATACTCTAGATCTAGCCTCCCAAGGCTGATATACCACGTAAAGATGTAAGATTTACGTCCATGCATGGCACCTACACTACTAGAAAAACAACCTTTTACGACGTGCAATGTGTGTCGTAAAACGCTTAGATGACATGCAAATGCGTGTCAAGAAAGGCCCTATCCTAACGAGAGACGACACGCTTTTGCGCATCATCTATAGACGATGCACATTTATGACACGCAATGCGTATCATTAAAACCCCATTCAAGAAAGGCCATGTCATAAATGAAGATAACACACATTTTTGCGTATCGTAAATTTAAATACTTTAAAAAGTATATATTTATATATTTCTTAATTTATAAATTAAATTTGCATTTAATTTCTCATAATAGAAATAAAATATCATGTACAAAAAATACAATCCATTGCATAAAATTTAATGTCATACAATTCTATTTCTTACAATATATAAATTTGCATTCATCTAATCTACTATGTATTTCATAAAAAAAATCTATTTCATGCGCGACTTCTTCCATTTCGTTTATTAGCAACTTCCATCATTAGTAGTACAGCTAACAATTGAAATGAAGTCTTCCACTATCACATACCCACAAAAAGAAACTTGTTTTCCACTACTTGAAGCCAATCAGCAACAACACTAATGGTTTAGAAGGATCTCATGAGAAATATGTTGTGAAGAAACAAGGTTCATTTCCCTCCATTACTTTGTATAATGGCACATGTGGTGACAATCCATCAAGAGATCTGGCCCATTCTATGTATTTCTTCAAATTCATCAAAAAGAAAAAAAAAAGTAAATTAAGATAGCCATTTTTTTAGAACTAGTTACAAGAAATAGCAATCTACATTTATCTATTTGTAGATTACATTATCCTGCTTTCATTTATTTCCATTACATCAATTGCACTTTCATTTTTTTTTCTTGCAATTAACCCTTTATAGTTACCTTTTGCTGCAGTAATCTGTGATTTCCATATATGCCCTTCGTTTCGTACCCATTCAGCCAGAAATACCCTTTATAGTTACCTTTTATTTTCTAATGAAGGATCAAACACTTGCCTGGAATCTTTCAGCAACTTGAGGATCATGTGGATTCTTATCTGGATCAACTTGGAGTGCCTGTACTAATTTATTCACAGGAAAATAAACAATTATAAAATTTAAACTTTCAAAAAGGGTGGAAGTTTTGGATTATATGTGATCAGCATGATATGAGTCATAAATAGCTTCAAACAACGATCTTGTATCAATAAAAAGGTCATATCTGCTCGATCAACTTGACTTCCAACAAACCTTTCCCTCAACAACTCCACCTCTTCATCTCTCTGCACAACAATCACACATATGCAAAAACAATAAATAAGCCTCCTCATATATATTTTCAATAATTATATATTTATATACCAATTCTCTAAATAATGGCACAGGGGTCCTAATTCCGTGGCCAGAAGGTATCATCTCTGATGGTCTTTTGGCCTTTTCTACATCACAGAGGGAAACTTGGTGGGGCAAAGAAAGCTACTTCAGTACCTGTAGCAGACAAATTGGAAGGGTAAGAATGTAAATTTTCCATTCCAAAAATGTCTCAACAACAACAATATATTTGGTACTACGATGGAATGGAATCAAAACAATGGAATGGAATTAGTCATTCAAACATGTAGTTTGTTATGTACAGTTGAAAAGTAAATGGAAGGAAGAAATATAATTTTTATGAATATGATATGAACTTTAATCATATAAGATTATCGCTTAATAAATAGTTGTCCTTTGTGTTTTTTGTAGACTTACTTATAGATAGGCATTTCCCTCACCAGATATACTCATTGCAATTTTCAATCCTTACTTTAGCTTGACCTGTGTTAATCAATCATAAGACACATATTTCAATTATGAGGACTTATTTCAAAATGTTCTAGAATCAAGAATAATTACCTTGGTTCTTGCCAATCTTTAGCAATTGAAGTTATATATAGTGGCCCAAGCTTACCAAACACATCATCGCCTGATCCGTCAAACATCCTTAATCTCATTTGAACTATAAGGGTGTTTACTAATGCACTGTCCACGTCAATCTCCTTCAACAGACCTCGATCCATTGCACCTTGTGTGTGGATTCCTAGGAATGGACAACAGTCCAAATCCAAACCTAATAAATTAAACACAAGAAGAAAAAATATTGTATATTATAAGTTTATTATTTTTACTTATTTATGAAAACTGAAATATTTTGATGATAATTAACCTGCTTTGATTTCATCTGCATCAACGTCTTCAGGGGTGGCAGTGTAGTGTTGATTATCAAAGAATACTCCAACAGAGTCGCAATCTAAAACTATGTACCCATTGAGTCCCCAAGCCCCATGAATGGTGTCATGAAGAAGTCTAGGGTCATGACAGGTTGGAATCTCGTTGACTTGATTGTAAGAGCACATAACACTTGCCACCTTCCCTTGCATCACACATTCTCTGAATGGTACTTCAAATGTATCTTTCATTTCCTACTTGCTTACCTTCTCCATTCACACTCATTCATTATTTCATATTAATATATATATATATATATATATATATATATATATATATATATATATATATATATATAGGGTGTCGGTTCAAGAACCAATTATCATCACACCCACGGAGGCATTCATTAATTATTGATTCAATATAGAGTGACTGCCACTGTCAATGCACCTATTTCCAAAATAAGAATATCAATCGCAATTCGGGTCTATCACTCTAAGATCGATCATACTCATACCAATTATAATAAAATTATTGAACGTAACAACGTGTTTACCTTGGCATTAAAATGGAAGCGATCGACCCCACTCCAATTATCAAGATCGTAGGCAGTGTAGTGCTTGCAACACGCAGCCACCTTGAGGCGGTCACTGGGGAGGGTGCCCTCCAGTTCTCAGATGTTCCAAGAAGTCTAGAATGGAACATTACCTGAAAGAATTGTTTTCAAACTTAATGAGGAAACAATATCTATGATATACATGATCATAAGATTTAAAATGTTTTATTTGCATAAGAACCTAATGCAATAATACCAAAATGGCCAAGTACTTGAAGAAAAAGAACTTACAGTATGAAAGGGTACATTATCTTTTCCCATAAACTGATACAACTCCACATTTTCAGGATTCTTCCACCACTTTTCCCACTCAGGTGTGTAACATGAAGTGATTGAGACATACCCGATTGGTGCATCAAACCAAACATAGAAAACCTAAACATTACACACAGTGGAACAAATTGTAAAACTATACTTATATGTGAGACATAAGATGGAGGTCTCATTTGGACTTTATAATAGAGAGAGAGGGAGAGAGAGAGAGAGAAACAACTCATTTCACTTACTTTGTCATTGAATCTCTCATGAGGAACAAGAACCCCCCACTTGAAATCTCTAGTAATACATCGTTGCTTTAATCGTGTTTTAAGCCATGCATTTGCTTCTTGAGTAGTATTCTGACTCCATGATCCAACCACTGACATTTTTTTTTGATGTACTCTTCAAGTCTACCCTCCAACAATGGAAGCTCAAGAAATAAGTGATTTGTGTCACGGATATGAGGACTGGATGCACAGACCTAATTGCATACCAAAGTTTGGAGACATGAAAAGGAATAGAAAGCAAAAAATGTACAAAAGGATTTTGTTTTGATTTATTCACTACATGAAACTTAGCACTTGTTTTCTTATTCACTACATGAAACTTAGACATGAAAATGAATAGAAAGCAAAATACTGCTAACAATGGTTTGCTGAAAGTTTCGGTTTCCCAATTCAAAATTGGGATAACCTCCTGAAATTTATGAGAAATAGAGGGATTGAAGTTATAGAGGTTGGAATAATTTCAGAAATCCAGTTGGATCGTTCCTGAATTATGCATATAAGTCAAGGAAACAGTCAAAAATATCATTAAGATTGGGAATTAGGGTTCTTTGTGAAGAGCGAGTTAGGGTTACTTTGAGGAAATTGGGGAAATTAGGGTTAATGAGTGATTTGAGCATCAACAGTAAGAAAAAAAAGAGGAATTTGCAGATAAAATAATGAAATTCGGATAAATGCAGATCGACATACCTTATTCATTAAAAAAGGTCCAATCCACAGAAAGAAACAAACCCCCCACAACAGCCAAGAAGATAAACACAAGAACAAGCTTCGACCACCACCAAAGAGAGTACCAAAAGCCACCACCAACACTACTACAACTCCTCGACGACGAGGAAGAAGAAGGCGGTGAATAACAACCGCCGCCGCCGCGGACATTACCACCGCCCAACCGCTCCGGTTCCTTCAAAATTACATAATCATCCTTGGGATCTTCAATCACGATCTTCAAAAGGGTGACTACATCTGCTTCCTCGTACGTCAAAAGGGTGACTACATCTGCAAGTAGCCGTTAAAACTGGTCAGATTAAATTGTGAATTATCTGATAGGTATGGAGGAATCAGAAAACAAAATAATCAACGATGGTTGAAGTGCGAATGACAAGCAACGATGGTTGAAGTGCGAGGGAAGAAGAAGGCGGGAGTCAATGTTGGGAGGGGAAAGGAAGAGCGTCATTAATAAGGGCAAGAGGGAAAGGAGAAAAAAAGGAAGGCGGGGTTTTTAATTTTTTATGATTTCATTTCCCCCTACAGTTAAAGGATGGAACGCGCGTTTCCATTAAAATTTATAAAACGATACGTTCAGACGACACACATTTTATTATACGCGCCCTCCGTGGTTTTTGTAGACACTAATTTAAGGGTACGTAAAAATGCGTGTCCTAAATCCTTAAAATTTATACAGAGATGACATTATTTTTAGGTCACACACTTTTGCATATCGTAAATCAATGCGTATCATAAATTGCGCGTCATAAAAGGCTGTTTTTCTAGTAGTGCTAGGGCTCAATATGCCAAAACAAAGCTCTGTGGAGGGGTTAATGCATAAAACTTGGCCAATAGCTTGATAAAGCTTGAATCTTTAGGTCCAAGGGACCTCATACTGCCCAGATCTGAAACTTCATGGCATGATCAAACAACTCAAAGGCTAAACAGGAAGATAGAAATGGACACTAACTCCCTAAAGAAGAGATCTAACCAAACAATGATCAAGGTGATAGCTTTTTACCTCCAAATATCAGTTAGCACTAGAAGAACATTGGATTCAAGGGCTTCTTCTCGTTCCAAGCCTTATACTCTTCTATCTCCTTCCAATAATGAACCAAAATCACACACTTTTAGTCTCTCTCTCTCTCTCTCTCACAGGTGATAGCAAATCATTTAGGTTTTCTCTTAGGGTCTTAAAGTGATAAGGGATGCAGAAATGAAGGCTTACGGTCCTTTAAATAGGACACAAACCCTAAAAATTAGGGTTTTCACACTCAACTCCTACTCGTCGACTTGGGGTCCTTCAAATCGTCGAGTAGACTCTAAAAGTCACACGACCATTACCACTCTACTCGTCGAGTAGGGGTATCCAACTCGTCGAGTCTCTCTGACAAAATGGATATAAATCAATTAAATATGATACCTGGGAGTCAGGATGTTGCAACATGGTTTCGTGAATGAAGCGTACTAGGAATTTGACTGACTATTCTTATACATATAATATATTAAACCTTTAATTATATATATAGTATAAGGTGTGTTTTAAAACATTTAAAAATACAAGGTTTAATCTTTTATAAATTGAACTTTTTAATTTAATTAAATTTAAACCAATTTGAGGATTTATTAATTATCTTTTAATTAATCATTTAGTTAATTTAATAGTAAGATCCATAAGGATAATATTAATTAATATTATAATCAATCATTATCGAGTCTAGAATTATCTTATAACATTAATTTGATTATCTAATATAAGCAAAATTCGATTTTCGCAGATATTATAAGAGATAATTACTAAATAACAAACATATAAATCAAATAATTTACTGTACTTGCATCGTAAGCATTAAATCTCATAACGTGAGATTAGTCAGACACAAAACAAAATTCTAAATTTTACTATGCTCACATCGTGAGCATTAAATCTCACGTCGTGAGATCAGTCTGGCAAAATTTCTTTTTTGTTCAACATCATAATATGTACAAACAATGTTGGACATACCAAGGGTCTGATACCACTGTTGAGTTTTATAGATTAAAATAACTATGTGCTTGTGGAATTTCAGTTAACGATTAAGGGCACATGCAACCTAAATGATCTATGTCTTTAACACTTTGAATGTAACATTCCATGAACAACAAAAAATAATTTGAACCCTAATAAATCCCTAGTATAATCAAATTACAAAAATTAGGGTTACATACCTTTGATTTATTGCAGTAAGCAAATCACTTGAAACTCCTTATAGAAAACCTTGGAAAGCGGGCACCGGGAATCTCATGCCTCTAATGACTAATACCCAAAACCCTAAAACCCTAGAATGAAGAGGAGAGAGAGAGAGAAGAGACTAAGAATTTTCGTTCATATGTTTCTAAGAAGGAGACATACGAAAATTCTAGCCCAAGGGGTCTTTATATAACTATTAGATATCCCTAAGAAGCCCTAGATAATGATAACCCCTAAATAGATAATTATCTAGTCTCCTAAGTATCCATTTAGAACATTCTAGATAACCCTAATAGAAAACCGTCCAAGCATGGAGGTTTCTAGAATCTCTCTTGTTCAACTAATGAACAATTACAAAACACCATTATACAATTAATTAATTCCGATTGACCCAAAATCAATTCCAAATTAATTCTAATAAATTATTAATTAAGTCTAATTGATTTCTTATTAATTTATTAATCATATAAATTAACAAATCAGTTATATAACAACTGATCTCATGTTAATTTATTAATTACATAATAAATTAACATATAAATTATTTATTTCAAATTAATATATTAATCATATAATATATTAACAACTTATTTATCTCTTTTTCTCCTAATATCATTTTTAGCTGTTTCTGATTATGAGGTCAACCTAAAAGGATTTTGCTAATTATTCAAGATTATATTAATTTAGTTATTAGCTTAGACACCTAATCCAACAAAAAGTTCTAAACCATGTTTTATGGTGCGGTTTAATGCAGTGTGGTATGGTGTGGTTTAGACTTTTTCACAAAAATACTTATATTGTTTCTGATCCGTCTCATTATTAAAATTTAAATGAAAAACTTCTAGCAAAACTAATATTCATAATGTTTGCAAAGTGGGTTGGCCACCATCTCATTAACTAGAAACATAAAATTGTAACTATGTTAACAATTAACATACCATATCGTTTTATGAGCCATGTTCTTTTGAGAACTTGCGAATTTATCATCAATTCAATATTTTTCAATACCAAAAATACTAATATTCTCCAAATGGTACGTCTAAGTTATATCTAGGCTAAAAAAAAGATTTGATAATTTTTTTTTCTAATTTTTTGTTTTTTTTGTATGACTGCTGATTAGCAGAATCAACAGTTGTACAGACTACCGATGAGCACAATTAGCAGTTACATGGACTCTTGATTGCTCCTCAGTAGTCTATATGGCTACTGATTGTACACATTCATAGTTTATATGACTGTTGATTGTGCTCATCCGCAGTCCATATGACTGATGATTGTACATACATGCAAATTTTGAAAATAAATAAAAAAAACTTGTTAATTTTTTTTAGCCTAGATATGACTTTGACGTACCATTTGGAGAATGTTTTTGTTTTTGATGTTCAAATATGATGAGCTAAGTATGAATTCACAAGTTCTCACAAATCTTTTAATTTGCATAATAACTCAGCTCATCGGTTTATTACTCATGTATTTTGTAAAATTGATAGTAAAATATTACGAGAGATTTCATTAAACTAACAAATACGAAAAGAGTATTAAAATATTCGACAAACATATAGGTAAATAACATAAAACTTAAAATTCAACACTGTGACCATAACGAATTTGAATATATATATATATATATATATATATATATATATATATATATATATATATATATATATATATATATATATATATATGGTGCGGTTTGGAGTACGGTTTCTTTATTAAAAACCGCAAATCGCACCACAAAGTTTATAAACCGCGTTATGTAGTGCGGTTTTGTATGGTATGAACAGTTTATACGGTTTTTACGTTTTTTGCATACCCCTAGCTAATACGTAATAGCCTAAGCCTAACTAAAATGATTTTCAAACATTGTAAACTACAGTTTCTGCATTACAAAAGAATTATTAAAATGAGTAGTGTATAGTATGGTTCGTATGTCACTTTCATGATAATTGATTAAACCCTGCTATTGTCACGATTATTGGTATCCCTTTAGATGATGCAAATAATCCAGAGATAACGGATGAAGAGACACTCACTATAGGGAAACATAAAGAAGAAGACAAGAATTTCTATCAATACTTTGTTAAATTATAAAATATATACAAGTGGCCACGAGAATCTCTTGAATTAAATAAAAAATAATTTTAATAACTAAGTTATAGAAGAATATATACATAAT